ACTGCGACACGGGTTTCGATCAAGTCGATTCGTTACTTTTCGAACCATTTCTGCTGATGTTGCTGTTTTCTTCCGTCCACTTCCTTGACGTCGGACTACGCTACCAGTATCACGGTAACAAGCGATGGTACGAAACACAAAAGATTTATTCACATTTAATTGCTGGAGTACTCTAACGATAGTCACTTGTGGTTTTCCAGCCAAATATTAAGAAATCACACTATCACTCTTGAATTCCATCACGAATAACCTTTTTCTTGAAATCTCTCACCAAAATGCTTTTGTACGCTTGTAAACAATATAATAAGCGGTCACTGCAACAATTTTAACAGCTGTCGGACGATTGGCTTCGAAATGACAGCAGTCTGAAGTTGGTTGCAGTTTTTGCAGTGCATCTCACTCTGTAGTATATTCTAAATATAACGTCAAGGTGTTTTTGTAGTTCGTCATGCGGTTTTAGCTGTAATTTGATTTAGTGCAGCCTTAAAAAAAGCGATAACATAGATTTATGTTTTTTGAGATCTTCAGCCACTATTTTCAATATTAAGATGTGCTAACATGGATGCATTTTTAAACCATCCACCATACATAGTATGGAGGGTATATTAACTTTGTCATACCATTTGTAACTAATCGAAATAATCATTTTAGACCCAACAAAGTACATATATTCTGGATCAGCGTAAGATTCTATAGCCCTGTCCGTCCGACTGTCCGTCTGTTGTAATCACGCTACAGTCAAAACGAATTAAGATAGAAAGCTAAAATTTTGCACAGATTCCTCTTTTGTCTGCAGGCAGGTCAAGTTCGATGATGGGCTATATCGGTCCACGATATCGTATAGCCCCCATATAACGGTACCCCCGATATTCGGTATTTTGATGATGTTAGCCACATTTTTCAATGGAATTGTCTGAAAATCCACACAAGTAGTTCCTTGCGAGTAATTTATTCCTTGGAAGATAAGTATCTATATAGGTCTACGATATTCTATAGCTCCCATATAACGGTACCTCCCGATATTCGGTTTTTTATGATTTTAGCCACATTTTTAAACAGAATTGTCTGAAATTCTAACAAGAAGTTCTTTGTGAGTACTTTATCCCTAGACATAGATTTGTCTATATAGGTCCACAATATCGTATATCCCCCCATATATCAGCACCTTCCGATATTAGGTATTTTAATGATTTTAACAGAACTTTTAATGCATTTTTTTTTAAATGTTCTAATCGTTCCAAATGGTGGATGGTGTTCCCGGCCGAACTTACTGCTTTTTAACTTGTTTCGATTTACGAAGGTTCACCAAATAGGATAATCTTACGATTTTTTTATATATATATTAATATTTTACATTTTTTGGGTCTGACTGTTATGGCTGATGTTTGTTCTACATCTAGCGTTGTGATCAGTAATATTGTCGAAGAAACTATGTACATATTTAGATACACAGATTCCAAGGAATATAAATCTGAAAGATTCAAACATACCTCCTCTATTAATGTTACTTTAGCTATATTTTCATAATCTACTGCATTCTTCGTGTAATTTTATTAATGTCCATAGAAATAATTTTGCGAGGCCCATGTCTTATTTTCCCAGGAAAAAATATAGCTTTTGAGGTTCTCCAGGTTAAAATTTTCATAGGTTATCATTTTTTAATAGTTTTTCCTTGAGTTCTTATACGATACGAAACCGTTAAAAATTCAAACAAATTATTAACTACGACAATATACCTATACTATGGTATCCCAACAATAAAGGCTAACTCTGTTTCGTTTTTGAAGTTTAGTGCTTAACGTGGTCGGTCACCCCGTCTTTGGCTTTTTTATTCATATTTGCAACTACGAAACCTTTGAGTGCCAATAAAAGGCATTTGCAGCCTTTATATCCTCCAATCCTTTTGATATTATTGACTATTTTCGAAAGGACTGTTTGTGTTCAAATTCTGTAATAAAAACAACAACAGCAACGGCATTGCACAAAACAAATCAAGTGACTGATGGCCTTTTATTCATTTGCACCGAATGACGATTCTATCACGGCATTTTTGTTGTTGTAAACAAAGCCAGAATCACTCATTTCAAGGATCATTTTTAAGAGTCTCTAGTGCCAACTCGTGGATATTTATATTAGCCGCCAGAGCAAAGCTTTAAATTCATTATGGAATCATGACTTTGTGGCATTATGCATAACCTCTTCAGTTTTATTACATTTTTCAGCCACCCTCTCCCCCTCCACTTGTTTTCTAGGATATTGATTACAGTTTCTGCGATATAGTTGGTGTATCCTTTGGCTTGGCAAAGGCTTGCACCGCTGCATGTACATACATGCTTACATATGCATGTGCATGTGTACATACATCATTGTGTGACGTGTTGTGTAAATCTTTGTTGCAAATGTTCCAGCCGCACTTGAGAGCTTCAGCGATGGCAGAATTTCAACAGAATTTGCTGAATATGCAAATGTTGTGAGTGTCGGACTGAACGTGAGTAGGGAGTGTGTGGGGGTACGTTCGCACGGACAAGCATGTGAAGTGCATGGGATGTTGTATTGCAACACTTTGGCATCAGTATGCCGTCGTATTAGTTTTATATTAACATTCTTTGTGCAACATTATGATTCCAGAGCCCAGAACGGCTACTGTATGATAGTCACCAGTGTGTAAGTATGTGGTTGGCCGGGGTGCCGTGTTTTTATGGCTAGAATCGCAGGCCGGGTTATGAAGGTTCATCATAAGGGCCTTCTAACTGAGGTTATTTAAAATATGTTTTTCACCAGATATTATTAAAAATTATTAAGTTGTTTCATAAATCGGTTCCAGAATTATTTTAAAATTTTCAAAAATTGTTCAATCATTTTGAATATTTTAACGTTTTGTTTTAGAATCCAACATGCACACATTTGAATACATATTTTTATATATATATTAAAAAAACAAGATGTCAGCTTTAATTTCATTAAGGCCCCCAATTATGCTCCTCAAATTCGCCTGCATTTTAGATTCATACGCCAATGAGGCAACGCTCACACACTTGTATGTACGTGTGTGAAAGTGTGTGTTTTTATAATGGTCCAGATTATCGATATTACCACCATGAACTACCACAATTTGATTTATTTCATGCTGGTGCGGATTTGAAATCACATTTGAATTCTTTATGAAATGAGTTGGAAATATTCTGTGGCCATGTTATTTGCAACAATAAAATGTGGCGGTGCTTGGGGAAAATCAATTTGACATGTGTGTGTGTGCGAGGGGGGCGTCACACGAGTGAAATCACAATTTTGATGTTTATTGCAAATCATATGTAAATCTTTTGACTATTTGCACCTGATTACACGTCATAGGCGATGGAATTGAGTCCAATTGATTTGAACTTAGCAGATGACAGGCAAAAGTGAAAAAGACAAACGTTTGGCAATAACACTGTCATAGGCTCAACTAATAATATGTAAGAGTCCGAATGTGTAAACGTTTTTGGGGTCGGTGTGACCATTTGCATCCTTTGTCATACCAAATAATAGTATTATTCCTTAATCTGGAATGACGGAAGGTTTCTATACAATAACTAATAGCTGACATTTATATAAAATCTAAGCATGTTGCTTCATATATGGCTATAGAATGTATATAACGGTGTTGCATCAGCCAGCGGAAGGTTCTACACATGCAAGGGGTCTGCGAATTTTTTTCTATAGATGAGTAATGTGGATGCCCTCCTAGCTGCAGAAGATATTTCGGCTACCCTAACACGAGGGCTATTCAAAATCATGCACCTACACTGAAATACGAAATTACAAATGTGTTTATACTAACACTTCAGGTGCCGCTATACGACGCTTACATCAAGAGTGCCTGCATTGAATGGTTTATCCAAATTTCGGCCGGAAATTGATTTTAAGACCTTCAAAATATATAGAAAATATACCCTATCTTGTGGCAGAGAATATAATTTAAATATTAATTTAATCCAAAACAAGTTAATTAGTATCAGTTGGTTTTGTCGACGGATGTGTAACCCCAGCCTTGAGTTATGATTATTCTAACTTTTAACCCTCCATGAGAGAGGTTCCGAAGCAGTTGGGCAATATTGTTCAATTCATATCTGACCTAAGACTGATAAAAATATTACACCGTGTCATATTTGGACTATATAGACTACTTCTATACTTTATATGAGATATGTGCAAAATTTTGGAAAATGTGAAAATGTGCGTGGGGTAATAGATAAAGCGGAACGAACATTTATATCCAATTTTATACGAAATCATAAATATCGATTAATTATATATTCATATCAGATTTGTTTTTTTTTTTCAAAATATTGAACCCTTTGTGGGGGAAGTACCAGAAGGAGTGCGCCGATATATTGCATTTCAAAGCAGATCTTGTGTTAGTAAAAATAATAGGACGTGTAAAATCTTGATGAGAATAGGATGCTTATTTCGGATTTTATGATCGTTTTGGTTATTGAACATTTTGACCTTTTGGGGGAAGGTACCAGAAGACGTTGTCGGATCTCTACCATCTTTGTAACAAATCTTGTGTTGATAGAAACATTGAGATGTACTAAGTCCGAATGCATGTCAATTTCGCGTTTTATGAGCTTCATAGTTATTCAAAATTTTGACCCTTTGATGGAGTGGACCGATATTGTCCATATTCGTACTTTACCTAGCACTAATGCAAATATTAGAATTTTCAAAGATGAATCAAAATCGGATTATCTTTTCTCTTTCTGATCGATTCCAATTGTCCAGAAACTGATTTGGTCCGAAGAAGTCTGTTTCTAGTTTTACTAGAAAATTATGGCAATTTCAAATTACCAAATAAAAAAAACAATTTTTTTAAATTAAGCTTTACCTTCAAACGGACCGATATATTCTCCTCCTTTATCTCTACAAATGACCAAACCACGAAAAATATTGCTTCAATCGGGAACATTGTCCTCATACGATTTTCCTGCCAACAGAGTCGTTTTTGAGCTGCATAATCGCTTTTATTTGATGATGTTTATTTAAAACAAAATTACTAAATTCAATAATGTATGTACGTATGTTAAATTCTGTTTCACAAAATGACTTCTTTCACTCCTTTTTTTATTTCTTAGAGAAAATTAAAAAAAAAAAACATATTTACATAATTTTTGTACAAATGTAGTAGCGATCTAAACGTTTCTCCTAATTCCTTGGTCGTTTTGTTGATTGTGACGTAATCACTGGAGTTTTGGAAGTTGTACCCAGTATAGAATCCTCTCCATCATTGGATACATCAATTGTTCTTGGCAAATCGGGATAGGCAGTTCTTGTAATGGCTAAAAATATAAGATATATTAAATGTTATTCCAGCACATTTAATTTATTTTCTCCGAAGTTACCATGATTTTGTCTGTAACCATAGCGATCGGCGTTGTAGAAGACGGTGATGTAATCTCCAGTTGGCATGCGATAGGAATAATAGCCAACCACAACCAGTTCCCTGACCTGATCGATTTTCAAAAAGTAGCCCCTCTCGTAGCGAGCCGTGCCATCGCTAAGTTCGTAGCGATATTCATAGCTACCATCGGGGTGGCGATGGTCGAACTTTTCCACCACATGTGTGCCCAGACCCTCAACGGGATCGTGGGGAATATTCGAAGTTTGTTTGGCAGGTTTGCGCTGCTCCTCACGGAAGGAGTTTTGAGAGTAGGATTGTTGGTAAATATTTTGGCTGTTTGGTTTTTGATATTGTTGTTGCTGCTGTTGTTGAATTAACCCCGCCTCAGCAAAATTAGGCAACAACAATGCCAACACAACAAGGACATGACCACACAATTTTATTGTTTTTGACATATTGTCTTGTTTCCTTGTTTTGTATTTGTCCACCCTGCAAATGCCAGCGAAACTCAACAACAAAACAAAAAAAAAAGAACAATTGTTTTATCTTAGCCCTCTTTAGAGTTCTTAACGCACGTATAAATCACACAACCGCAATTTACAATCCCCGATCCGTTTTGTCGCTTCCTTCTTGGTCAGAGGGTGTTGATATTGTTGGTGCTGGTGCTGGTGCTGGCGGCAGATATAAATGTTTCCGGGCGGTCTTCCCTTTGCAGTTTAATTCAAATTTAGCTCAGTCGACTGCTTTTATAGCCTCCTTCGAGTCAGCTCAACGAATCGCCGGCAAAACAAGCAATGGCCCCAACCAAACGAACACTGCACAGCACGGAGGAAGGGGAGCGGGGGCTCATTCGCAACTCATGTGTTCATTCGCATCTCTCGTCATTTCCATCGTCAAGTCGACAAGCAGACGGACAGGCACGCGGGTCATCTTAATTCAGAACATGAATGAAATCAAACGATTTGAAATATGCTCACATTACGAACATTCTTCACTGGATAATCGCGCGCAAGAATCTCCACCGGGTTCTCGTAAATATTCTCACTTGGTCGTGTTGATTTTTGGTCTCTTCAGATTCCATTTGATAACACCAATAATTATAACTTTGGCCACAAACCCCTTTTTTGGCCAGGCCATGCCAGACCAGACCAGACAATCTTGCCGGAGTACAACGACTGGTATCACCATTACCATCATCATCATGATCCACATCAGCGTAGCTGTATTACCGCGGAGTAACGGCAGCGTAACGGAGAACACAAATGCCGCCGACACAATCGTAAATTTCGGGCGTGTGACATCGTTTGCCATGAAGACGTACGGACCAACGGGAACCAAACCACAGTGACTGCCGAATACGCCGGTTTGTGGCAATATTCTGAAAATACAAACGCTGGTGTTACTGTTGTTTGTTGTGTTGTTGGTGTTGCTGTTTGTTTTGTTATTCTGAGCCATTTAAATAAATTATAACCAACCTGGAATGTTACACTTAAATCGCGAATGAAATGATGTCTTCAGTGCTTGTCGGAATGTAAAAATAGCTGGGCGTTGGCGTAACAAGCTTTGAGCGCCAAACATAACAAATCTTGTAGTCAATGCTACAGATTTCAAATGGCCACTTGAATCGGGGCAATTGCCGGAGATGTGTTAGAATTTGATAACAGAATGTCACGAATCCAGGGTCTTGGATGAGGTTCGAGTCATTGAAACAATGGTAGTGCTAATGACTGCAAAAAATGCATCATTTGTTGAAAACATTTTTCACACCACTTTTAATTAGTCCATTTAAAACAAAGCCCACACTCTTGAAAGAACAATGTTTCAATGAAATTTATTTGGTTAATAACCCATAAAACATTTGTTTAATGCGGTACTTAAAAAAAGAAGTGGACAACTCCTGGAATGACTTCATTAAATCGAGAGACAATGCGAGCAAATGTCTGTGTATTTTCAATGCATTTGGGAATGTTTGGAAAAATATTTTATTTCGAGTCGTCATCAGGATTGCTGAATCAGAGCTGGAGCCGAAGATGGGGTCAATGAGTCGGAGTCGAGAAACATAATTGACGGATTCAATTATTTAAAACAGAGCTATAAGACCAACGAAGTAAATGTTCGAACTTGACGTTAACTTAAATCGTACCGTATACACGACCAAAAATAATTATAATTACCCGGATTCCCGGTTTGTGGAGGATGGATATTTTGAAGTTCGTACTAAAAGTGTATGAAATGGACAAAAAGGCACTACATTTTCTATCATCAGTGGTGTAAAAAATGTTTGTTTGGGAATTTTGTACTCAACGGATGAATACGTCTCGAATATGTCCTTTTTTGGAGAATCTTAGATATTGTTTTTTAGAAATCATTGATGCCACAAATGTTTATTATCTGCAGTCAAATATATTCAAATAGAACCCAGAATGAAGAATGTACTCAATTAAAATCGACAGATGTATACCCCCAGCATTATCATAACTCGATTGTTGATTGAGTGGACCGAAATTGCCCATTTTCGCAGCTGACCTGGTACTAATACAAACATCAGTATTTGGAAAGTTGGACAAAAATCGGATTATCCTTTCTCTTTCTGTGCAGTAAATTTTTTTCTTTGAAAATGTTTACATTTTGCGGGGAGGTACCAGAAGGAGTATACCGATAGTGCCCACATACGAGCTCGATCTAAGTTTGACAATAATATCACGACGGGCTACATCGACTCAAAATATCCTGAAACGGACTTGGTCCAAAGAGTCCTAAGGTCTAAAACCGTTATTTCGATGAGGTACATTTTGGCCCTATCAAATTTTATATACCCTCTCTAGGCATATAGCTGAGGGTACAAATAACGGTATATCCCAATCTTCAGTCGTTTTATGAGTTACGCCGCATTTTTCTATGCAATTGTTTGAAACAGGAACTTCGTATTGGGTAACAATACCTTCAATAGAAAACTGTCTATCTTGGCCAAATGTCTATCTTCTTTCAGAAAATTGCCGATGCAGGTTCACGTTTTCGTATAGCAGTCCTACCTATTCTTTGGAATTTCAAAAGATTTGAGGTCTTTTTATAAGAGCTTTGGTGTTAGCGACTTTTTTGCAAGCAGAACTTGCCGTGTAAAAATAATTCGGAAAAGTTGAGTTCAGCCAAATTTTTCCTGAAGTTTCTACTGAATTGAAACCCTTTCCGTTAGCATACAATATATGACGTTCCAAATATCCCCAGTCAGGCAACACCTGTTATTATTCTCAAGTATAATTACCCATTGGCCGTCAATGAGGTTGGTGCATTTCCCGCCAGTTGGACGCACCACATCTCGTTAATGTTAGTGGCAAAAGGGTGTGCCAGATAATACCCAATGTCCATTTAATCTCAATCTCCATTAAATAATTGATAAGGCTACCCTAACATTACAGCAATGTGTCTGACTGCCTGACTGACCTCTTCCTTATATGGTCCCTCCACATAATGGCCAGTGACACCGAAAATTATTTCCTTTAAAATTCACATGGCAACATAAAAGGTTCACACAACATTATCTGCGACATGTATTATCGACAGACAACCTTAACATAATTTCGTCAATTGTTTGTCCATGAAACTGACGTGGCCAGTTGAGACGCATCCACTTGTGACTTCAGATGTGTTGACACCGAAATGGAAAATGAAGACCATCATTCAATGTTTCTTTTTTGATCATTGATCGCCTTTTCATGTTGGCCAAAACAATTCAAAACAACCTGAAGTGAACTAAAGTGAAAAGATAATGATATGTGTAGATAGGTAGGCCCATGTTATGTCGTATCTTCTTTTATCAGCATTTTTATTTTCAAAAAAGCAAAGATGTGACTTCTTATGTCATGGAGAATTACATGGACATGGGATGGGCATTGACACTGGCGAGAAGAATTTTCCCCCAGTATTCCACTGTTCCACTTTGTTCCATAAATTACTCTCGGCAATTAAGGGAATCTCGAACAAGTCACAAACTGTTCGGCAATTACTTGTTACACGCTCCATTATGAGGGCGATTTGTCTGTCCCACTGCCCAACTTTGAGCACTTGTGAGCGGTTTAGTTTAAAAGGACCAATAAATAATCACGACACAATGTTTCAATTAAGTAATTCCCAAAACAGTTGCTGAAATGAAATACGCGAAACTACGCGCGGCAAACTTAGTCCATCCATCGCTCCAGCTGTGTTTGTAGTGTCCTGCACACCAGCTAATCCTGCAACAACTGCTAGGGAGCTGTGGCGTCGTCGGCGGTGTCAAATGGATGCCATTTATGAGATACATTCGTTAACATTAATGCTGTGTAAACAGCTATAATTTTATATGTTTCTGGGGAGAACTTGCGTGGGACATTCACTGGGACGGGGGTGGAGAGGATTCGTCTTTGCCACAAATAAGGTCAGCTCGTATTTATGACTCCAGGTAAACGATTCGCAAAAATGAAATTCTTCTTGTTTGTCCAGCTCTGCCTTTTGCTGTTCAAATAAGCGTCGGAGCCCAGATTGTCATCACGAAGACATTCCGAGGCGAAACAGGAAAGTAAACAAACAAAAGTTGGCAACAAATTTCTAACCATGACATCAACACTCTAAACCAGGAATAAATTGGTCGTGCATGGATGCGCGCATGGGGACGGGCAGATCTCAAACAGAAATCTACATCAAAGTGGAGTACGTGCGTCTGATGTTGATGAAGACAATGACGACTGTGACGACGGCAGCGACATACGCGACATACGCTTCCATACTGTGTCATGGCCAGGGAGACAATCACACACACACACATCGACCGCTGTCGCCGATGCTGTTGCTTTATTACATTGGGACTGCGTTTGACACCGACTCCTCAGCTGGCAGCAGATGACGAGTTGGGCAGGCAATGTTAGAGTTGTGTCAACGCTGCCTTCAGTTTGGCGAATAAGTTTCGCTTGTGGTCACGTGTTGGCGCAGATTTTATCTTGTCATTTTCTTAGTTGTCCCATTGCTGCTCGCTGGTACCTATTCTCCTTGGGTTACTTGTCTACGGTTTCCTTGTCAGAGATTTTGTGCAAAACGTTGTTGCTTATTTCAGATTGTTTGGCTTTTGCTCATTTTATATTTTCTGAGCATCAACTTTTCGGTATTTATTTACATTTTTTTACAAATTCAAAACCGAGTCCCGAGGACACGGACAGCATTTGTGAATAGCAAATGGATGTTCGGTCTTCGTTTTATATTCATCGTTTTAATAATAAGATTTTTGGGAATCCTTAATCTTTGGAGTTGACCTGATGTTAGAACCTTACGTTTTTGGGTGATGTGAATAAAAGTGTGACGAAATGCTAAACGGAAAGTTACGAACCAAGCCAAGGTTAGCTAGGTGATAACCTTTTCTCTTTTGTTTTTTTTTTTGTTGCAAAAAGTTATGCATTGTATGTTTTGCTGATGACTTTTTATACCCTCCACCATGGGTAGGAGGGTATATTAACTTTGTCATTCCGTTTGTAACACCTCTAAATATTCGTCGTAGACCCCATAAAGTATATATATTCATAATCAGCATAAAATTCTAAGACGATTTAGCGATGTCCGTCTGTCTGTCTGTCCGTCTGTCTGTCTGTTGAAATCACGATACAGCCCACATTATTTGACGTAGACCTTTGAAATTTGGCACAAGTGTGTGTATTGTCCCTAGGATGGTTGGTATTGGAAATGGGATATATCGGTCCACGTTT